TGGATTACAAGGCGATTTCTCTACCCAAACTATGGTGGCTTGTGCCACTTACATTTAAAACTTTCACACAATACAATTAAACTATATCTCACGGGGGTGCAGCACCACAGCCTCACAAATTACCCTAACACCCCCTTTTTGTCATCATACCCCATCAAGAAAATCTTAAAGGGTATCTCTAAAGTTTCGGTTCCGCTTTTCACCACCAGACTTCCGATAGATGGGCCTATCTTCAGATTACTTAGTAATCTCCCTGACGAATCCCCATTTGATCTCAACACAAACCTGGTGATCAAATCTGCTATCTATTTATCTTTTTACGGGTTCCTAAAACCTAGGGAATTTACCGTTGTTTGTCAAAGAGATATCACACACAGCCTTAAAACCTCACAACTCACAAAAGTAGACGATTACTACATCCTCACAATCCCGTCTACCAAAACGAATCATTCACTACACCCCACAATCATTCCTCTCTTCCCAACAGATAATGCTTGGTGCCCTGTTAAGGCACTAGACCACCTAAAGTCAACTCATAAAGCGCACTTACCAAACTCACCGCTCTTACAACTACAAGGGCACCCACTCACTAAAATTCACTACGTACGTTAGAATCTTATTGGGAAAACTGGGTTACAACCCATATTCGTTCTCCGGGCATTCCTTCTGCATAGGAGCCGCTTCATCAGCTTCTAGTACAAACACCCTGGTCCACATCATTAAGAGACTGGGTCGCTGGAAATCCTCTATATACAACACGTACATTCCACAACCAGAAAGAGAACTCCGTCAAGCCTTCAAGAATTTAGTTGTGTAACAAATGCAATAAAGTGTGTTTTTTCGTACTTCTCTTTTGCCCTCTTTTATTTACAGGCCCACTCGGACGTTGGTTTCGGCACACCACAACCAACTTTCATCCCATTCACTATCCATTACATATTAAATTCCGAGCACAAGTAGAAATGCCATTAGGCCTGAATTTGTGGGAGGAGTAAGTCCCCTACTTAAGCTCCCAGCCCCTACGCACCTCTGACGCTCGAGTTCAAGTGTTCCCCACCCACCAACACCCTTAAGAACATACAATTCTCCTTGATGGGCCCTCTTTTATTTACAGGCCCACTCGGACGTTGGTTTCGGCACACCACAACCAACTTTCATCCCATTCACTATCCATTACATATTAAATTCCGAGCACAAGTAGAAATGCCATTAGGCCTGAATTTGTGGGAGGAGTAAGTCCCCTACTTAAGCTCCCAGCCCCTACGCACCTCTGACGCTCGAGTTCAAGTGTTCCCCACCCACCAACACCCTTAAGAACATACAATTCTCCTTGATGGGCCCTCTTTTATTTACAGGCCCACTCGGACGTTGGTTTCGGCACACAACCAAATTTAATCCCATTCACTATCCATTACATATTAAATTCCGAGCACAAGTAGAAATGCCATTAGGCCTGAATTTGTGGGAGGAGTAAGTCCCCTACTTAAGCTCCCAGCCCCTACGCACCTCTGACGCTCGAGTTCAAGTGTTCCCCACCCACCAACACCCTTAAGAACATACAATTCTCCTTGATGGGCCCTCTTTTATTTACAGGCCCACTCGGACGTTGGTTTCGGCACACAACCAAATTTAATCCCATTCACTATCCATTACATATTAAATTCCGAGCACAAATATATATACATATATATATATTTTTATTTTATTTTATTATTATGTGTTTATATATTATTCAATCATTAAATCAGGGATTCCAAATAAATTTTTCCTGTGGAACACGGACATAGTGTATCAACATTTCTGCAGGAGGATCTTCAGTGCTGGTGGCTGAGGTTGGTGTGCTGCTCAGTCCCCGCTGCTCCCTCTCCCCCTCCAGGCGATGCGCTTTGTCTGGGAGGAAGTGCTGTCCCTTCCTCCCAGCATCCAATACTACAGGGGTCCGGTCGTGGTTTTAAATGATCGCGACGACTGACCGGACCCCTGTTTAACCATACCCATCAGATGGCCCTAGATGCTTGCAAATCACCGCGGAAACTCAATTTTGTTCTCGCTGAACCCTAGGGTAATTGGGAAATGCTGCATTAGATGACTGAGTAATCTATAAACATTATATATATATATTTATTATGGGTTATAGATTACTCAATCATCTGGGGTTGAAAGACATGCATACATATATGCCTTAAATATTATTGATATATATTTACTTTTCTAATATGGTGGGTAGGGGTTCTGTATAATGGATAGGGTAGCTGTAGTGGGGCTGTGAGTGGGTAGGGGTTCTGTATGGTGGGTAAGGGGACTGTGAGTGGGTAGGGGTTCTGTATGGTGGGTAAGGGGACTGTGAGTAGGTAGGAATTCTGTATGGTGGGGTAGGGGGGCTGTGAGGTGGTTAAGGGGGACTTTAAGATGGTCTGTGAGGTTGTTAGGGGGCTGTGAGGTGGCTAAGGGGGACTTTAAAGTGGGCTGTGAGGTGGGTAGGAAGCTGTGAGGTTGGTAAGGAGGCTGTGAGGGTTCTGTAAGGTGGGTAGGGGGGCCTGTGAGGTGGGTAAGGCGGCTGTAAAGTGGGTAAGGAAAGCTGTTAAAAGGTAAATCTAAATACCTTTTCCTGCTGGTCCGGTGAGCAGCTTTCCAGCATCATCAACATGTGTGGGGGCGGGGCATGCGGCCAAAATTGATTTTTCCTGTGCAGGGAGACTGACAGGTCTCTCTGCTGTCGGCCCGGCCCCAGCTTGCTGCGGCCCACCGCCAGTCCGGCTCTGCCTATGCTCATTTGCAAGCAATAACTAATTAACCAACATTCAGTAGCAAACACCTAGCTAATCAAATCAAATGCCTTACCAATTACCATGAGCTCCTGGGAGGTTCCCAGCAGATGGAGGTAGAGGGATGAAGATATGAGAGTCACCATCACTGTGAGCATAAGAGACACTTCACATAAATCCCCACTTATGTTGAAGTCACCCTGTGCCCATTATAGGTGCAGGTTGTGTATTATTGTTATTTGTTAAAGATTGTGTGTGCTCTCCTGTCCTTCTCATGTGCTCTACCAATTAGGTGGATTTGGCTGTGAAGCCTGTCTAATGCCATCTGTTGGCTGTGAAGAACTTGCAAGAGTTATGAGCAGCACCACCTGAACAGCAGGACTCTACAATTTGTATATTATAGTTTTTGCAGGCAAGGGCCATATTTCCTGTTAATCATGGTCACCCCTTTATAAATATTTTATTGTGTTATGATGAGTGCCTGTATGATTCAATATGTTTTGTTATATGTATTGGACTGATTGTGTCACCATACGTTTAATGCAGATGGCAGCTAGTGCAGAGTCAAAAAGTATTGTGTGTTCGTATCAGGAAGACACTCATTAGAAGTGGATTTAACCTGCCCGTGTTTCTAAAACAAAACTAAACAATGGCAATGTTTTACGTTAAAGTGTTTAAAAAAAAAAATGACAGGACAACTGTACCCAGACCACTTCATTGAGATAAAAGTAGTCTGGCTACATACAGTGTTTACATAAATCAAAGCATTTTCAAAATACTAAAATGGTTTTAAAAGCTTAGCAAAGAATATGAATTAAAAAAAAAAAAAAAAGTACAGTCACACAAAAATATAGACATCTACTTTAATAACATATCAAATGTTTATATACACAGATATATTTACAAACTATAAACAAGAACACCATGGATAATTTGTATGCAAGCAGGAAGTACATTTGGATGTAGTCTAGTGAATAAAGGCCAGTTTATGTTGAGGGGATTCTGGATAGCACATTATACACCTGAAGGCTTGACCAAGGATATAACACTTCTGCGGTGCTCTATGCTTTGTGCATCACTGACCAATGTGCAAACTGGTGAATTAGTTGCCCAAACCGTTTGTACGTTTTTCCAATTTACAAAAAGTGTAAGAAGCAGATTTGCACGTGTGCTTCTGGACATCTCCAATATACACCAGCTGCTCTCATATCCTTGAATCAGAAGATTATGCAAATGTTAATGGGGAAAGAACAGTTGTATATTTTCTTCTGTCTCACTATGTCTCAATAATGAAATAGAGAGACAGCGTTTGATTTTTATTGTGATGGTGCCATTAGAAAACTTCTTGACCACTGTACATCTCTGAAACTTTTTTTACAGTTTCCTTTGCAGTTTTAAAAGCAAGCATTTAATCTTTTTTCCCCATCAGTAGCTTGGAAGATTTTCAGTACTCCACACATGGTTTGTGTGCTCATATATAAAAACAGAAGGATGGTTTTATTGATAAGTTTAGCGAGGCAATTGTAATTAAGCACGCTAGGTAGACAAAACAGTTTGCTTGTTAAGTCAAGAAAGCCTTGATTTTCACAACCTAGTGTTTGTTTTCTTACATTTAATTGAGCCACACATTTACAAATGAGTTCACAAGAGAATTTTTTCCAAACCAATATCCCACTTAAATGATTGTCCCTTCACATTCTCTATACAAAATGCACATTTCCAAACATGTAAAAAACACCCAAGTCATGCCTTTACATACTAATAGGCCACGAAACCTAAAATGTTTTTGACACAAATCATAGAGCCACACAGTTTATTAATACAAAACACCAAAGACTTGCATAAAGAATAGGGTAAAGCCAACAGAGTGTTTACAATTAGTGCAAAGTTAGCAATAAAGCCATACTGTTCACAAGATTGACATTGGGAACTTTTTAAATGGTTTTCACTGACATAAAAGAAAAGCAGTCTGTGGGTCAACAAAACAAACTTTGTAACGTTAAAGTTTCTATACAAGTGTATTCCCATCTAATGACGATATCAAAGTATTAAGAACACCTGCACCTACTAGTCCACTTTTCCTTCAATGTACAGGGGTCAGAACTCCAGACAACGAATCAGGTAAAAGTTCAAAGAAGTGATAGAAGAAAACTATGTACATAGTGCAGTTTAAGAGGCAGGTAAATGTTCTGTACAGACAGATGGTCAGGAATGGCTGTGATGGAGAAAACGTCATCATGCCCACCGTCCACTTGATGCAAAGCCTCGGCTGAATGAAAAACTGACTTCAGAGTTCTTGTGCTTTCCCCAGGCTCCAAACGGGACAACAATAGCTGTGCTGTTATCTTCTGCTCCAAACTGAATAGCCTGTGTACAAGACAGACATAAATCTAGCTATAAGGGAGAGATAATGTAACACTAGCAGTTGTAATACTCAAAATATATTTAAAAGGGACATTATAGTCACCAGAATAACCACAGCTTATTGCATTTGTTCTGGTGAGTGTTTTTGCAGTAAACACTGTCTTTTCAGAGAAGATTACAGCCTTGTGATAATGTTACTGGCCACTCCTTAGATGGCTGCTAGAGCTGCTTCCTATCCCAGTCTTGCCTAGATTGAATCACAACATTCAGTATCTTCTCCCTCTGCATGCTGATTGGCCAGGGCTGTGTTTGAATTGTGCTGGCTCTGTCCCTGATCTGCCTCCTTCAGTCTCAGTCAATCCTATGGGGAAGCATTGTCAACACTTCTGATGTCAGCAGGTAGCTTGCTGTTCTGAGGCAGACAGGGCAGAGCCAGCAGCTTCAGGCTTGAATACAAATAAGATTTTACTATATTTAGTGAGGCAAGAGCAGTCCAAGGGGACTAGATGGGAGTTTTAACACTATAGGGTCAGAAATATAGGTTTGTGTACCTGACAGTATAGTGCTCCTTTAACCCCTTAAGGACGCAGCTTCAAAAACGGAACTTACCCTTAAGGACACAAGCCATTTTTGCGGTTTAAGGAGCATTAACACCGCGATCAGGGGTTAATTTTAGCGCATGACGGACCAGGTCGTCATCCGGCGTTAAGGGGTTAAAAAGATTATAGGAAACTGCTTACCTGTTCAGCAAGCACTTGGGCAGCTTCAATAGGATCATGGCACTGATTAATGATGTCACAGATCTCCTGACTGTTGACGATGAAGTTGATGCCATCGGTTGTTAATACTAAAAATCCATCATTCGCATGATGTAACTAGAAACATAGGAATGTATTAAACAACTACACACGTTAAATATCAATATATTTTTTTAAACTTTTATCTTAGAAGTGATAATTGACCAAGTTTGAAAAACTGTGGGAACCATGGAATAATAGCGACCTAGCAAACGTAACAGCCAAATAAGAATACGACAGATAAGACTGGCCTTCACATCCCTTGACCCCAAATCCTGGAAAGGCACCCACTCAGGGATCAAACTCAGATTGGGTCAGCATTGCGCTCCAGAGAGAGTGGGCATAATCTAGCAACCGGGCGACTTCTCTAAAACCCCTTACACCGCACCCAACCCTTTTTTCTCGTCCTGCTCTATTCTCCTATTCTATTCTTTACTCATCCCAGGAATTAACTAACTGGGAAAGTACACTGACGAATGACTACATGCGAAAATGTACGCGACAACAAAACCTAAGAATAACCTGGTTATTAGACTCATGTTATGGTTTATTATCTAAAAATGTGACATGTCTTGAGAACTTGATTGGCTGTAATGTAACTGAGAAATAAGAAGCATCTAATATGATTCACGGTTTATTGACGATTTTTCTGAAATCTACACCAATTGCAATGTATACTGTATGTTATGCGTACGACGTGACTATCAAAGTTTTTTTTTAAGTGATAATTGGAAACTTTTTACAAAAAAATAAAAATACGATATTTTTATTTATTCTTTTGGGATGCAACAAACCATTAAATACAAAATGAATTTGTCTTAAATTAAAGATTACATTGAATGTAAAGAGAAGGATTAGAACAGTTTCATATTTATATATAAAAACACGCTTTTTTTATAATAAAAGTTTCCTAGGATAAAGGGAATGGTTTCTTTACACAAACTCTTTAATGACAGATAAGACTTCCTTAAGCTGTGAAATCAGTTGTTTAAGACACGAAAATTCAGTTGTATATTCAACCTTTCCATGTCATCATTTAAAATGCAAGGTCACAGCTAGTCATTCACTCGTGACCATAATTTCCACTCAATAGGCACACAGAGTAAAAATAGCCTGAGACCTACAGAACAGAGGAGCCAATTGAAACGGAGTTGTTTAATGGAATGTAATCATTGGAAGAGAGATCCAGTTTTTTTAGTAACTATTTAACAATTTTATTATCACCGCAAAGCGGGTTTGAAGTTGTGTTCTCTGCCAATATGTCCAAATATGTTCTATAAGAAATAGAAAACTAAGGAGGTTCTTACCTTCACCCGCTTTGTTTCTGGATCAGCAATAACACCCTTTGATTTGAGATCCAAGTCTCCGATGCTGCGTGTCATTGCAAGCCTGCCGTTCACATGGGGCTGTCCCAAGCTATTCCACGCAATAAAGCCACCACTTTCCCTGATCCTTCAAAAGAACATAAAGATGGAATAAAAATCCAAACATAACATGCATAAATTTAGATCTGTAACGCTAGGCTAAAATTCCAAGGCCTCAGGTAGTAGCAATGCCAATAAGTTACTTGCTATCACAACAGTGCAAAACAAGAAGAAGGCTCCTGCTAGCTTCTACATGTGGTATGTGATGGTGGGTAAACTAAACCACACACCATAGCTTATTCTCCAGGACTCCATTGTCAGTGGCAAGCCCTGTTTCTTTGTTTATGTGCCATAATGCGTCATGGGCCATACAAGACCAGTTCTTAGAGGATATATGCCTTTTCGGGATAATTTATGGTGTTTTTTTTTTTGTGTGTGTTTTTTTTAAACAGCTATGGATTGTAATGAAGCCATATGAATAATTATCACGCTCCATATCTCCAGGTCCTTAAACATAGTAATCATGTTTAGGATGTTCGAGACATGTTAAGTTCAGCTTGACCTTTTACCAGCGTCCATGATAGGGCCATTTCAGATTTTTACACATTGAAATTTGCCAGATTGGTTATGTTGCCTTTGAGACCGTATGGCAGACAAGGAATGAAAATTACCCTCATCATGACATACCATTTGCAAAAGTACACAACCCAGGGTATTCAAAATGGGGTATGTCCAGTCTTTTTTTGTAGTCCCTTATGAACACTAACTTTGGCCAGTGTTTGTGACCATTTGCCCTCACCCACCCCCCGACCTATTTTTCACTACAAAAAAAAAACCCCACACCCTTTCACTAATTATATTCTAGTCATATGTTTTACTGCACTAAAACAAACAAGTCTCGCAAGTACAACAGTAGCCCTATGTAAATATTTTATGGGTGTTTGGAAAGTTACAGGGTGAAATATAGAGCTTGCTAATTAAATACGCTGGTATTTCTGCCTGGGTTTTCAGGCATGTCCCCAATATATAAAATAAAATTTAGAATGAGTGTGTCAAATTTTTTTTTCTTTCCAGTGCAAGAAATGCAGATTTGAAATGTTATAAAACACATACAGTACTACCTTTGTTTTTCTTCCTTTCGGTCAGGTGTATGGTCAATAGTAAGCTTCACAGGTTTTCCTTTCCGACATAACAACGCTCGGCTATCACCAACACTTGCCACAACTAACTCAATGCCATCACGTAACAAGGCCACTGTTGCAGTGGTCCCACAGTTCATAAGCGATGCTAAAATATTAGAAGAGCGTTATTAATATTTTTAAAAAATAAAATAGATCTATAAAAAAAATAAAGACAACAACTTCTATTCATTATAATAAATTATCAAGGTTATTTGTTCACCTAAATCTATGTGTTAGTATGAATATGAAAGAAAAAAGCAGCATGCATAAAAAAATTAAAATATATATGTAATGCAAAATGCAACAACATGGCTTAATACAAAGTTTTTTTATATAAATACAAACATGATTGTCTGGAATCAGTTTACCAACTTCTGTAAAATTTTGGTTTTATAGAGTAGAGTAAGTTAAACAAACGAAGAATTAACAGCGCCATAAGAAGTTGTAAAATGGCTTAAAGGTAATTCGCCAGTAGAATAACTATTTTAATTCGTGCTACAAAAAAAAAATAAAAAATACTGTGTTCGAGGGTTAAGAATCTTTTTCACAGGTATACTCTATTCAGGGATACCCTCATATGCTGTAAAATGGACCTGTGATATAGGACAGCGAATACTGCTCTCTTAAAGACAAAAAGCATGAAATTGAAGAGCTTGATAGCACATGTCCTACTTTCAAAGTTGGAGAATAGGGCACTGAGAAAAGAAAAGCAGTCTAGTAAGTATTCAGGATCCTTCTATATAATTAAATATCCAAAGCTCCTTTAATTGATATGCCCACAGGCAGAGTGTAGAAAGGATACTGATTCAATTAAAAAGTATACAGTATATTAAGAGGATGAAGCAGGTTTTAGAAAACTTTACATTTAGCTGCATGGAGTCAGAAGAAACATTGTCTTATAAACAGAGTTAACATAACTAACAAGGTATGCATCTAGCACTATGTATTGATCCATGTTGTGCAGTAAAGGTTTTGTAGATTAGTATGGATTAGGGATTAAAAAGCCCAGCATGTATGAATTCAATATTAAGCGGATTTAAAGCAGGTATTGCTACTGCAACGTAAATCTGGTGAAAAGGGACACCTGTAAAAATTTTGGTTCTTGCATTCAACCTGGCAGTAGATTTAGAAATATTAATCACAAGGTCTGATGAAGTAGAAAGGAGGTGCAAAATAAAGGAACTGGGCTGGTTTAAACGTCTTCATAAGAAGTAGGAACAATATTTACTGGGTTCATGTCTATGTATGATCTTGAAAAAAAAAATTAAAAAATGGTTTCGAAGACATTGCAATCCCATTTCTGTTTCTAGTAAGAATCATCAGATCATTAAAATATTAAAGACAGTAACATACCTGCTTTAGTTTAAATGCATATTTTATGCCAAAGAAAAATACATAAATATAACTCAAAATTAAAAATATGAAGAAAAAAAAAAATGAAGATAATCTAAAACAAGACACTCCCACCCCAAATTAAATCGAAGTAATCAGCTCATTGATTTTGGAACTTTCTATACCAGGTAAATTTACACAGTCATAAAACCCATTCATTCAATTTCATTGAATATATTTTATTTAAATTGCAGACTGTCTTAAACCAGGATATAGTTTTAGCCTTTAAATAATTCTTCTAAATAGGTTAATTTAATTTAGAAAGGTTTGTGGTTGGTAAAAATACAAAGATTTACAGTTTATTATACAGTTCAAATTTCCAACCACACAAAGTCATCTTTGCCAAGGGATTCCTTCTAGAAACAAATGTAATGCCTGTTCCAAGTCAGCAGGCTAGCATTGTAAGATAAGGTACCTTATCTTCTAAAATTACATATTTGAAATTGTTCCAAAATCAAGGAAGTGTAGCTTTAAGTGACAACTATACTATTTTTATGTGTGCCTAGTTTGTTGCGATGCAGAAGAAATAAAAATCTATATAGTTTGTCATTTTCTTCCTTTCAACAACACTAAACATAAAAAGGACAAAACAAAAAAATAAATAAATAAAAAAAAGACACAAACAAATACTAATATCTTTCAAGATATCTTAACACTCACTGGACATTTTTTTACTTCATGTTCATCTCAACTAATGTGACAAAGTGGATGTTGGGGCCTTCCTGTGGTCCAGGCTAGGAACCGCCAGACTCCTTCACCTGGGACAAAATTTAGCAGATCTCTCTTTCCACTGAAGCCCAGCATTTAGCGTCCGGGGCCTCCAGTTCTAGAGCTGCTGACCAGGTGCAGTCTCTGCCACAAATAACACGCACACAGAGGCAAATAGGAAATTCACCCAGTAGGTTTCGTCAGACAAAAAAAAACCTGCAACACTGAGGGCAACAAAAGAGCTGTTCAACTACTCTGTGTCTAGAGTATGTTAGAGGAATAGTAATTTTAATCTGTCGCGTAGCAGATGGTTTTAAACCTGTTGGAAACTTGCTTTTCACAAATCAACGTTAAAATGAGTAGGGCGATATTTGTATCCTGCATGTTTAGTCGCCCATTTAAGGCCGATAAAGTGCTTTCTATGTAAATGTATTCAAATATAGAAAGGGGGAGGGGGGATTTGAGTCATTGCTTTATGGCCTTTAAAACACAATACAAGTTTGGCATAATTTTGTTTGTTTTTTTTAGTTCAAACTAATTGCAGCTTTTTTTATTTCCTCAGTGTTGCAAGGTACACATTTAATTAATAATAAAAAAAATAAAAAGAGCCACTGTATGAGTACTTGTTAAACTGCATTAGGGGTCATTTAAAACTCACACCATTGATTTTCTTATAGTATATTGGATTAAGGTCTATGCCAGAAGTCGTTGCACTAATTCACTAAACAGCCGACAGCTTGTATGAAACCATTACCCAAGCACGGCTTTGTTTCAGAACAGTTTTGTCCATGCTTTCTAGAAAACATGAATAATTTAAAAAGCCTTCTATATTTATCCCTCTGCAGGTTTAAAGGACAGCCATGAAAAGGGCAACATACATATATCATGTTTAAGAGGGCAAACAATATAGGTGGATGTAAACATAACAGCTGAACCAAACAACCGAGGACTTATCTTGTAAGAGCAAGGTGATCGATTCAGGCCTGGGAATCGAACATTAGACTAGATCTGAAAAGCCAAGCTCCCCTCTATAAAATTATATATATTAAAATCAAGGAAAGCGCAATATGTACTAGTGCAATATGGTTCATTCATTTCAGTTTCTCCAGATTGATACGGTTTTAACACACATGGTAAGCCTTGTGTTTAAATCAGGTGTGCAATTGCATTATAATGTGCAACTCCTGGTATAGCTCTTAATGTTTTTAGAAAATAGCAAACATCAAACCCATAAACCAGATCTTCAACTTATCATTCATATGCAACTGTTAAGACTAATTTATGGAATGCAAGGCCTTTGGAGACTTTATAAATAAAACTGGGTTTGATGTACACACTAGAGCTTGACAGCTCAGATGATTAATGTTACAGCCAGTCACATTCCACATGAACCAATGGCATTCTTCTCTTGCACTGCATGCCTATCCTGTAAGGGCAAATGTTCAAACGTTTACATAATATTAGAAGCATTTCCTGATTAGGTGTTAATTTATTGCTTCTCTCAGGCTATTAGATAAAGGACTTCTTGAAATGTGCAGTTATAAAATGTATCATTTTAATTAAACATTATTAAAAAGTGGCTTGGTATGTACCAAATACCCTTTGTATTTTGATTCCAGGCATTATATACACATTCTGAATGTAGAGTTTAAAATAACATAGAAGTAAGAGATCTGCACTACTTTCATCTGAACATAGCTTTCTGAATTTGAAAGCCCATTAAGGGCATCATCAATTAAATTATTACAGTACAAGAATTCTAACCCGTATATAGCATTCACCTTTATCTGTGGATAGGTACATTGAGGAAAATGATTGAAATCTTAAAATAAAAACAGACAAACCCTCAAAAACTCAACACGTGTCAACCTACCATCAACAGAGAGGTGAGCATGTCTGGAAAACGCCTTGTCTATTTCTAGGAAAGCTCGAGTTAACACCTTTTCCATATCTTTCTCATGTGTGAGGAAGTCTCTGTATGGACAAAACAAAGACATTATAAGACTTCAATTCACCATAAAAAAATAATAATAAAAAAAAACAAAAAAAAAACCACAAGGTATTGGTAATTTACTCAGCTTCATTGTTGTGTCTGGTAAAACAAGTTTTGCATAACCAACTATGCCAGATGGAATTATTAATAGATCATCACTTGTTGAAAGTTTACAGAACTAGTCCAGGATATAATCATCTTGAAAATTTGTCTAAATGGGTTATATTGCATACCACCAACAAGAGTAGCATGATAGTGTATGGTGTGTTTATGGAGTTTACAGTTGTGCAGACTAGTCGTGGACTGACTTACAGAAAGCAACTTTAATATTTTTGCCCAGGAGCCAGAAAGTGCCTTAAAAGGGATAACTGAAGCATCATAACCACTACAGCCTGCTGTAGTGGTTATAATGCCAGAAATACCCCAGTACCATTTCGCCAGTAATGAGGCAATATTACAACAGTTTACCCGCTTACCTGGATCCACACCTCTACTGGTGCTGGATGAACATCTGGCTTTGCTTGGGCTACAAAGTCAGCATGATCCCATTGCCATTCTTTGGCTGAGAGCACTGAATGACATGCTCTGCTTGTGATGCCCCAGTGACACTGCCGTAGGGGGAATTACACCTCTGACAAACTCTGTACGTGCAGAGTTTCAAAGCAAAAATGTTTCAAAAACAGACTCCAAGCAACATGACCACTACAAATTGCTGAAGTGGTCACAGTGCGTGGATTAATCCTTTAATGTGGATTTAGTAGTACTCCAAGCACATTGTTTTGTCTGTTAATATTTTAGGATGGAATTTTCTCATGTGATCCCCCCATATGCATTAAATAGAAACATAGAATGTGACGGCAGATAATAACCATTCGGCCCATCTAATCTGCCCAAGTACTTTCATTAGTCCCTGGCCTTATCTTATAGTTAGGACAGCCTTATGCCTATCCCACGCATGCTTAAACTCCTTTACTGTGTTAACCTCTACCACTTCAGCTGGAAGGCTATTCCATGCATCCACTACCCTCTCAGTAAAGTAATACTTCCTGATATTTTTAAACCTTTGTCCCTCTAATTTAAGACCATGTCCTCTTGTTGTGGTAGTTTTTCTTCTTTTAAATATAGTCTTCTCCTTTACTGTGTTGATTCCATTTATGTATTTAAATATTTCTATCATATCCCCCCTGTCTCGTCTTTCCTCCAAGCTATACATGTTAAGATCCTTTAACCTTTCCTGGTAAGTTTTATCCCGCAAGCCATGAACCAGTTTAGTAGCCATTCTCTGAACCCTCTCTAAGGTATCAATATCCTTCTGAAGATATGGTCTCCAGTACTGTGTAGAATACTCCAAGTGAGGTCTCACCAGTGTTCTCTACAATGGCATGAGCACTTCCCTCTTTCTACTGCTAATACCTCTCCCTATACAACCAAGCATTCTGCTAGCATTTCCTGCTGCTCTATTACATTATTTCTGATGACTTAAAGGTAGGCAGACAATCACCTCTAAATCCCTTTCCTCGGATGTTGAGGTTAGGACTCAATCAAATATTCTGTACTCTGCCCTTGGGTTTTTACGTCCAAGATGCATTATCTTGCACTTATCCACATTAAAGGTCAGTTGCCACAATTCTGACCATTTTTCTAGTTCACCTAAATCATTTGTCATTTGGCTTATCCCTCCTGGAACATCAACCCTGTTACATATCTTAGTATCATCAGCAAAAAGACATACCTTACCATCAAGACCTTCTGCAAGATCACTAATAAAAATATTAAATTACTACTATTACTTGAAAAAGGTTAATGTCAATGTGGCATGTAAATCGTGTGTTCTGGTCTACACTCTAGATGACTATAATGAAAGTGGCACAGTCCCTCCCTTTCCCCATTCTTTCATTCTTTAATAGATTTCCAATGATAATACTGGCAAAACCTAGAATGTTAGTGTGTCTTGCATACTGGGTTGGGAATCGCAAGAGTACTGGGTTGGGAGCAATTAATCATATGAGTTTGCAGGGGTGTACCCATTCTCCTCCAATGAGGGGAACAGGAATCCAACTAAACTTCTATCTACTCATCTGCAAGGAGTATATTTGAAAATGAAATAAACTGTAAACAATCTACACTGTTTCTCTCACGTTTACAAAATCAGTGACACCATAGTCACAAAAATAACTAGCTTAAAGGACTACTATAGTGCCAGGAAAACATACTCGTTTTCCTGGCACTATAGTGCCCTGAGGGTGCCCCCACCCTCAGGGACCCCCTCCCGCCCGGCTCTGGAAAGGGGTAAAACTTACCTTTTTCCACCGCTGGGCGGAGAGCTCTCCTCCTCCGATCCTCCTCTTCTCCTCCCGTCGGCTGTATGCGCACGCGCGGCAAGAGCTGTGCACGCATTCAGCCGGTCACATAGGAAAGCATTCATAATGCTTTCCTATGGACGCTGGCGTGCTCTCACTGTGAAAATCACAGTGAGAAGCACGCAAGCGCCTCTAGTGTCTGTATAATAAGAAAGCCCTTTTTGTGTGTGTGTGATAGAGATATAGATATATATATTATATATTTTTTTTTTTTTTTAAGGACAAAAAGGGCTTTCTTTACATAACATTTATATAATCTCATGTAATTTAATAAAAATAAAACATATTGAAAACACTTTTTTTGACTTTTACTTGAAAATTTTTTTTTACTCATCTACAAAAGAGAATGAAAAAAAACCTGCTAAATAGATTCAAAATGTTGTTCGGAGTTTCAAAATACCCAGTGTTTACATGCTTTTTTGCGAGTTATAGGGCTATAAGTACAAGTAGGATATAGCGGTTTCAAAACATACATTTTTAAAATTTATCAATAGTGACATTGTAACACTATTATCTGTCATAAATCTATGAATAACACCCCACATGTACATTTATTTTTTTATTTTATTTTTTTAAATTAGACAACCCAGGGTATTCAATATGGGGTATGTCCAGACTTTAGTAGCCACTTAGTCGCAAACACTGGCCAAAATTAGCGTTCATATTTGCTTGTGTGTGAAAAAAGTAAACTAAATTGAACGCTAATTTTGGCCAGTGTTTGTGACTAAGTGGCTACTACAAAAGACTGGACATACCCCATTTGCAATACCTTGGGTTGTCTTTTGCAAATGGTATTCCATAATGGGGGTAATTCTCATTCCTGGGCTACCATATGTTCTCAAAAGGCAACGTAACCAACCTGGCCATTTTCAATGTAAAAATATTTGACCCTGTAACATACTGTTATACTCAGGAGACTTTGCTGAACACAAATATTAGGGTTTCAAAACAGGAAAACATATCACAACAATTATATCATCAGTAAAAGTGCCGTTTGTGTGTGAAAAATGCAACAACAAAAAAAGTCACTTTCACTGACAATATCATCGCTGTGATAGGTTTTACTGTTTTGAATCACTAATATTTGTGTTCAGCGAAGTCTCCCGAGTAAAACAGTACCCTCCATGTAAAGGTTTTAGGGTGTCAGAACGTTACAAGTTAAAATACAGTGCTAGCAAATTAAATTCTCTTGACTTTCGGCCTGGGTTGGCAGGCAGGTCCCACAAATTGCAATCAATAAAATTACATTATGTAAAAATATTACATAAAGATGCACGTAGAATTTAAATATATATGCATATTTATATATTTGAAGTCTACGTGTATATTTATATAATTATTTATGTAATTTTGTATATGGACATTTATATTTCGTATTATTTTTAAACATTAACCTTTATTTATTTATTTTTTATGATTTTACACTAGCAGGAAGACTGCCTGTCAGCACAGGCAGTCCCCCTGCAGGCAGACACAGACACCTATTGTGACCATTTGATTGCTCTGTTGAGCAATCACATGGCCCCAGGGGTCCAAATCCACCATGGGGAGACTGCCTGGGCTGCAGGCAATCTCCCCACATCGGGAGCACCCCTGGCGGCGATCTGGTAAGTACATTACACAGTTAGGACGGTTCTGGACCGTCACCGTCGGCAACGCTAAAATGCCGATGATGGTCCTGAACCATCCTCGGTCCTTAAGGGGTTAAATCACTTGTTTCTGTTGACACAGCCCTAGTCAAATCTCCCTGCACGTGGCCTATACAACCTTCATGTTTACACTTCCTTTATTGCACATTCTGTTTAATTTAGAATTTATGATATCCTGCACTGTTAATAGCCTTCTAGAACCTGCAGGAGCTTCCGGTGTGTGATTAAAGTTCAATTTACAGAGCAGGAGATAAAAATTGCATCTGACTGAAAATGAAGCCATCTTCTTTTCATGCAAGCTGTGTGAGTCACAGCCAAGTGTGTTGTGGCTAGGGCTGCATAAACGAAAACAAAAGCGATTTAACGCCTAAATGAAACTGCAGCAGCATTATCTGTAAACTAAAACTGCTTCAATAAACTAAATTGTTTTAGTGCCTACAGTACCCCTCTAAACGTAACAGGCCCTTGGAACCAAAGTCATTTTTGATCAGGAGTAACAGTTGAAGTCAATGAATCATTTTGTATACATTAGCCAGCAAACCTGCACTTACTTAATGTACTTCTCCATAAACCGATCACAGAAATCAGCGGCAGCAGCCCCACCATGTCCATCATATACAGCAAAGTATAAGACATCCTCTGTGAGTCGAGCAAAATTGAATCGGTCCTCATTTTCCTTCCTCTTTCCCAACTGAGTGGAACAACCAACTCTGGAGAGGTTAATTTGTGGAATCAACTTGCCATACTTTATACTGGTTGGGAGCTGAATAGGCTCATCAATGCGATTGTCCCAAATCCCAAAAGAGTCCCAGGTAGCCGGCCGGCCACTTCCGTCTGGGTCAAACCTTGATGAAAAAGATCTACGGTTGGTGGTAGAGCACTGCTTGACTGGAGTAATGCGCGGGTTACCTTGCAGAACGCAAGACGACAGCAAAACTCCTCTTCTCACCTGAGACCCTCCATGTCGTATAAAAGTAACTAAGGTAGCTGTTGACATTCCTTGACTACACTGGGCTTGGTAGACAAAGTAAACTCCTGTTCCGATCAGTTCAGAGATGGATAGCTGTTGAACGGTTGTGGAGAAGGTAAAATAAAGTGTGGTCAGATAGCGTGCAAACTATTTAAGATTCATCCAGTTCAACTACATTTATTTAAAAATAAAGATTCACACTTGCTGAAAATTATTTAACCCCTTAAGGACACATGACGTGTGACATGTCATGATTCCCTTTTATTCCAGAAGTTTGGTCCTTAAGGGGTTAAAGAGGATCCTCTTCAGCATGTCTGTGGGGGGGGGAGGGGGAATTAACCTAAAATGGTCATGCACATTCTGTAAGATTTCTATTAATTTAATGTACTGGTTGCATAAATAGAAAATGAAGAAATAGTAAAGATGGTAGAAACTACTCTAAGGAGAGAGGCAAAAGCTCCCAGAGCAAATTTAGTTTAGATTATTACCCAAGAAACAAACAAAAAGAAAGTATTATATATGAATGTAACTTTTTTTTTTTTTAAATCCATATTTACCCACTTCCTCTTTCTTACCACATCCACTCCAGAGGGGACACTGATCAAGGACCTGACCCTGGGAATGTTGGAAAGGCATGTCTGACAGATTTACACATGTGCAGTTAGAATATCTCTTCACCTTGCAACATCCTTACAGGTTGGGAAGAGAGGGAGTCTGACCAGTGTGTTTCATACAGAGCAGGCTCTGCTGTCTATTGCTGTTGCACAATGATGCTCTGTTTGTCATAAGTGAACTGGTCTGAAACAGATGGGCAAGGTGCGAGAAACTTCCCTTGCTGGGAGGCGTGCCCAACAAAGCAATCTGACCAAGTTTATTGTAAGTGTTTAAAGGTTTATTACATACAAAGTCTCTTTATTTTGGTTTGTATATTTGTTAAAAACTATTTGTTTGCTGGTTTAAAAGGAAATGTCATTTGATGCAAATCCATTTAACATGGTTACCCTAAATGTGTGCATTTATCTATCTTGAATAGAGCTACTTGAATCAGGCTGATGCCTGAGAAATTACTTGAAGTGGCACATAGCTGAACAAAGAATGTTGAGTTGAATATCAGATAATTATTGAATTTGCAGACACTGACTATTAAGATGTATAAACAAAACCTCACAAAAGTAATTTACATTATAATAACTACAGTACAAGCAACAATAGCATCTTAAAGTTTGAATCAAATTTTGTGAAAATAAAAGCACCAAGCCTAGCCCAACTACACTTCAGATGGCAAAATTCGAGAACAACCTTTCAAAACAGGTCAAGGGTCTTTTTCACTTATCTGAGAATTGCAAAATCATTCACAAATTTTAGATAAAAATGGCCAAGCTGGAGAGTATGTTCATCTTGACCACACATTTGTGATTCCCTTGTAAAGGTTTCTGCAAATCTGATTTGGCAACACATACGGTGTCTGGATGTGAACTTGCGGCACCGTCAATAGAAATAAAAGGCACTAGCATCGGAGTTTACTGAAAACACTTTTGCTACAAGGAAGAGGGCTCAGCAGGGCTGACAACAATGAGGAATGGAATGGCAAAGCTTGTCATGGAAAAAATGCATATAATGTGCCTGAAGGCTGTCATGGTATCAAGGGAAATATGTTTTACAAACATTAGCAGTGGTGTTTCCCATCACTATTATACAGGTACACGTGACTGCACTTACACAGAAGCACATGCACATATGTCAATACATAAACTGCATTTTGAAGCAGCATCAACACTGATCACCTGCATTCAAATGTGAGTAATGGACAACGGAATAAATTATTTGGGAATTTCAAAATAGCAAAAGGTGGAAAATAAAGGTAATCTACAGGGCCAAGTGAACTACTTCATCTGCATTTTGCAATACCCTTATCAGTTATAGTGTAGAGTTCACTAAATATTAACTGCAGGAATTGAACAGTGTAGGTTAAAATGGAAAGAGAGCAGAGTGCTTTCCCTAAAACGTATAAATCAAATGCCAACCAAACCAAAATTCCAGCCTTTAAGGGGAAAATAAAGTGTGTCCGTTAAGGATTAATTTAACAGAAGCTCGGTTTGGACATTCCTTCACTTCCTTTTATTGTGACGCAATACAGACTCCCATATAGATGGCTATATATTCCTTCATCATCGTTATGGTAACGCCGCAGCATCCAAGGCAGAGCAGGTAATGTGAGCCGCAAGCGAACGTTCTAGAATCTTGAACATGACGCTATCCGCTCAGACGCTGCTGCTCTATGACGTCATAACCAAAACGACCTCTACTCTCCCCACAGCGACACTCCAGCTGCCTAGGACTACACCTACCGTGATGCTCTGCTCACCTAAGATCATCCCAGCCCACAGCAGGTGACAGAATGCCAGCCAGCTCTATCTGCACAGCGACCTGCCTGCTCCTAAATGAGCCATCTCCAGCCTCTGACACACCCACCTACCAGAACCACCCGCCGGCCGCCACTCACCATCCACACAGCGCTATAACCGCCTGCACTATACACCCAGCCTAGGCCGGACACCCCGCCTCGCAGCATGCACCTACCCGGCCTGGGGGAGCGCAGTGCGGGCACCAGCCATGGCCCGGGTAACCCAGCACTGCGGTAACACGGCGTGCATGGGGGGAGGGGGAGGGGGAGGGAGGCGGACAGCGCGCGGCACACCGTACCTGCTATGGATGTGAGCGGCCAGCGATCCCCGAGCTCTGTGTTTCCTGCCGCTCACTGCGCCAAGGGGAAAAACCACAGCGGCAACACCGCGCCAGCCAATCAGCGAGTGGGTCTGGCCGACGGGGCACGCCCCCGGACTGCAGCCAACCAATAGGAAGGGAGATTAGCGCCACCGCCTCCGAGATCTGGCGGACAACCAGACACGAGCTGCGGGAGATGGAGGGGGCGGGGACTGAGTGCCATGATTGGCAGGAGCAAAAATACAGCGGAGACCTGTGATTGGCTGAGCCAGCCAGGCCTGCACTCAGCATGCTCTGCAGCATTGTGTTGGTGTTGTCAAGACTGTTGTAATGAGCGTAATGAGTAATGCTGGCTTACTGGACTAGAACCTCATAATGAGGGAATTCATTCACAGACACGGCTTATTGAATTCCAGTTCTATGTAAAAATAAAGCAGCATATTGCAGGACTAGAAAAAGTGCAGAGGAGAGTATCAAAACTACTACATTTGTAGGGAGGGAGTGGGGGGACGGGTAGAAAACCTTAGTTATTAGCAAAGGCTAGAAAGATTGCATTGGTTTTCTTTAGAACAGGGTGTCTCAGAGGGGATATGATAGCACTATACAAGTTTATACAGGGCCCTTACAAACCGCTATGTGCAAAACGGTACTTTTCTAACAACCTACTTCGTACCCCTACTTTTACCCTCTGTGTCACTATACCCCACTCCCTCTAGAATGTTAGCTGGGTCCGGCCTCAACCCCTCTGTTCCTGTACGTCCAGTTGTCTGGTTACAATTACATGTCTGTTAGTCCACCCATTGTACAGCGCTACGGAATCTGATGGCGCTATATAAATAATAAAATAATAATTAGCAGGAATGTACAATAGACAAAAGGTTGCCTATTGAGACTTCAAGAATGGTGTTTCTGCTTACAGCAAAGGAAAGACATCTTTACAGTAAGAACAACAAAGATGTGGAATTCTCTGCCCAGATAGGTTGTCTTAAAAATAATCTTAAAAATTGGCTTGGATGCTATTTTTTTTTTTGCATAAAGAGAATATTCAAGGATATACTTAATATGTATGTAAACAGGTTGTTGACTCAAGGAGAAATCTGACTGCTGTTATGGAGTCAAGAATTATGTTTTTCCCTTTTTGTGGCATAATTGGAACTGGCTACAATAGTTACCGTTATTTTTTTTTTTTAAATTTGCCTTCTTTTGGAATAACAGCATAAAGAATGAATTTCAAGGTTGAACGTGTTGAACTGTCGTCTTTTTTTAACCTAGACAACTATGTAACAAGGCAACGTAATATTTTTTTCACTAAAGTGAGAACTGTGGAGAATTGAGAATGGAACTACAAATTGTAAGAAGAAATACCGTATCCATTAAGCAGAAGCAGAAATCTACTAAACTCAGAATTCTATCAAATTATATCCGGATTACAAAACTGGGGCTAAAATAGCCAAGCTCAGCGCTCTCATTTGGGCAGTGAGTCACTACATGTGTGCATTTTCACTGTCAGGGCCAACGCAACCATAAGGAGGCAACCAGAGGGTGTAACGGCCAGAAGGGAGCAATGCCTGGGTGAACAGCAGGAGTGGAGTGCTCCACTCCTGCCAGTCACCCATGCATAGTTGCCACATGGACCGTGGTAGAGGATCTTTTATATCTACTACCGGTCTGACAGGAAGCCGCTCACTGACAACAACAAACAGATTCCTGTCAGACTTTGGGGTTAAACCGTTTGAGAACACTAAACAACCTATGTAAACTACCTGGCATTATCCTCTCCAAAACTTTAAACCCCCATTTACCCTAACAACGTCTGACATTATCCCAACTATCCTCGTATATTCACACACAGTACATTACAAACAGAAATACACACATACCTATGCTGTTATCAAATACTAATACATCATTTTTAGACATTTCTATGCCTGCGAAAGCCAGTTCATAAATTTGTTGCACTCACTTTATATGTGGCTTATTTTTTTTTGGGGGGGGGAGGTGAGGGGATTCGGGGAGCCCTAAAAATGTTGTGCGTAAATGCACCTGACATTCAAATACAGCCCTGTTTGCCAAGACTGTTAAATCCCAGTTTGCATTAAGGCAGCCTTATGTACAATATATTAAATTCTACAACAATGTGTAATATGAACATCATTTATATTTTGATTACAGCCCACTCCGAGTTTAAGAACAAGGAATGTTCAATAATCAAATTCTTGCTTTAAGGGCTTTCAGCAAGCCACTATGAGAACCTCAAGATAGGCAAAGTGCCATAAGAGTATTAGTTTGACAAATGTCGAAGTATCCTGCAATTTTATTTTAAGTCTTTAAATACGACTTTGACGGTCTTTACTAGAAGGGAGACGAGCATGTCATCTTTAAGTCCTGGGAGTTATTCAGTATTGTAGCATATTTAAATCTAAATGACAAAATTAAGACTGACACAGCCTGTGTCTGGAGCTAAGTTGGAGACAATTTCCTGACTTGTACCTAAATTCTGCATTTTGGATTTTAATTTTCTTCTATCCAAAATTTTTGTACATACGCCCCTCCCTCCCCCTCCCTTTACTTCTTGTGCGTTTGTACAAGAGTCAGGGATATTTAAAGCAACTAATCTAGCCTATTATTTCACCTATTATATATATCGTAACACATTCTGTACCTTCCCATCTCATCAATAGGTTAAAATGCATGAGTGAAAGATTATAAACGTCTAATATTTCAGTTTTCAGTAATCCTCATTGCCTCTGACTGTGTGTTGGCTGATGTAAACACATATCAGTGTGAAGCATGGGTAAAGAGGAGTGTGACAGGCGTGACGGCTTATGCTCATGTTTTTAGCAGCAGTAGGTCATTCTGTCACAAGAAAACGGCAGCACATGACTAGCAATGTACACCTCCCTCTCTGAGTAGAGAGTGCAACAACAAGATGGGTGTTGTGTATTGATATCAGTATGACTGGCTAGTCACATCCAATAGGAAGAAAGAAGCTGCATACCCTGTTTTGCATTTAGGGCAGCTCTTTCAGCTCTAGCTGTGTGACTTGAATCATGGCTAGTGTGTGCACAGGGACAATGCCACTGTTCAAAACACTGTTACATCGCATATCCTGCTACTTTGGCAATTCAGATGTTAAAATAAGTATCTCAATTCGGTACATGGCAAAGAGAGAGAGAGAGAATACATAATTGTTAAAAGTGTGTTACAATAACATAGCAACATTAAGTTATTTTGTACACGTTTATAAACTGTAAACTTCCTGCATCCCATACCTTTTCAAAAGCATTATGAAGATAATACATTAAAACTATGCAAAAATAATTCTATATACAAATACAAATATAACACCATATTGTATGTTCTCCTCCTTGTTGATTCTCCTTCAGGGGCAACATGGATGTAGCCAAGACATTTTTGGTCAGTCACATTGATGACATCATGCTCCACCCACGTCCTTGCATTCATACACAAACAGCAGGCATATCTCCCAATGGTAGCTATTTAGAAGTGATAGTCCCTTTATTTTATCCTAATGTCCCTCTTTTTTAAACTCTCAGTATTCTTTGTGTGAGTTTATACCAGAGCTCCACAGCAATAATACTCACAGCAATGTGTCTTTATACTACAATCCTACAATCAATGTATTTAGACATTTGTATGGGTAAATACGATGCATTGTTCTTGTTCTAAATTACATTTTAGTTACATAAATTGTCCTCAGTAAGTCACCCACAATTTCTCTTAACAGCCCTGCCTATGGCCATTACTGAGTGGATACACTGCTGTATTCTTTGTTGTGGTAAGACATACTATTCTATTTAAAGGGACACTATAGTAACCAGAACAACTACAGCTTAATGTATTTGACCTGGTGAGTATAATCATTACCTTCAGGCATTTTCATGCAAACACTGCCTTTTCAGAGACAAGGCAGTGTTGATATTGCCCCCTAGGGATACCTCCTGTGGCCACTGGAGGCGCTTCCTGGGGCAGTGCTGAACAATAGGCAGCACTGCCGTTCAGCGTCTCCACGCTCTGCATGGAAATACTGAATTTTTCCAATACAGATGCATTGATTTAATGCATCTCTATGAGGAGGTGCTGATTGGTCAAAACAGTGTTTGGCCCTGCCTGCATCCCGCCTCCTTGCCAGTTTCAGTAAATCCAATGCTTTCCCACAGCAACCTAAATGGTGGTTTTAACACTATAGGGTCAGGAACACTAACATGTATTCCTGACCCTATAGTGTTAAAACCACCATTTAGGTGGCTTGCCCCTCCCCCCTAGGAGCGGTTAAAACATACCTTATTTCGAGCGCCACACGGGTCCACCCCTGGCCCCGCCCCTGATCCACCTCCTTGGTGACATCATCAGAACTGACCATTTTTAGGCAATCCAATGCTATGGGAAAGCATTGGATTTACTGAAATTGGCAAGGAGGCGAGATGTGGGCAGGGCTAAACACCAGGGCAGCCATAAGACATTTTGGGGCCCCTGACACAACTCAAGGTCTGGGCCCCCAGGGCCTGCCCCCAAATCCACCCCCGAGTCCGCCCAGAGGGCCACCTCCAGGTCCGCCTACAGGGATGCAGTGTGTGATTGTGATGTGTGTATAGTGGATGTAGAATGTATGAAGTGGATGCAGTGTGTGTGTAATGGATGCAGTGTGTATAGTGGATGCAGATTGTACATTTGTGTAATGTATGGGGTGTATATTAGATGCAGAGTATGTGTTTGTGTAGTGGATGTAGTGTGTGTGTATAGTGAATACAGTGTGTGTGTGTATGTGTAGTGAATGCAGTGTTTTATGTGTATAAGATGCAGTGTGTATAGTGAATGCAGACTGTGAGTTTGTGTAGTGGATGCAGTGTTTGTGTGTATTAGATGCGGTGTGTATAGCGAATGCAGAGTGTGTGTTCGTGTACTGTATGTAGTGTATGTATAGTGAATGCAGTATGTGTTTATGTAGTGAATGCAGAGTGTGTATAGTAAATGCAGAGCGTTCATATAGTGTATGTAGTGTGTGTATAGTGAAGGCAGAGTATGTATAGTGAAGGCAGAGTGTGTGTTTGTGTAGTGGATGCAGTGTGTGTATAGTGAATGCAGAGTGTGTATAGTGAATGTTGTTTGTGTGTATTAGATGCAGTGTGTATAGTGAATACAGTTGTGGATGAATGGCACAACAATGGGTTTCAGTATCTCATCACAGTATCTCTGTGCATTCAAAATGCCATCAATAAAATGCACATGTGTTCGTTCTCTATAACATACGCCTGCCCATACCATAACCCCATCGCCACCATGGGCCACTCGATCCACAACATTGACATCAGCAAACCGCTCACCCACACAAAGCCATACACGCTGTCTGCCATCTGCCTTGTACAGTGAAAACCGGGATTCATCCGTTAAGAGAACACCTCTCCAAAGTGCCAGACGCCATCGAATGTGAGCATTTGCCCACTCAAGTCCATTACGACGAACTGCAGTCAGGTCGAGACCCCGATGAGGACGACGAGCATGCAAATGAGCTTCCCTGAGACTGTTTCTGACAGCTGGTGGCTGGTCTCAGACGATTTTGGAGGTGAAGATGCTGGATGTGGAGGTCCTGGGCTGGTGTGGTTACACGTGGTCTGCGGTTGTGAGGCCGGTTGGATGTACTGCCAAATGCTCTGAAACACCTTTAGAGACAGCTTATGGTAGAGAAATGAACATTCAATTCACGGGCAACAGCTCTGGTGGATATTCCTGCAGTCAGCATGCCAATTGCATGCTCCCTCAAAACTTGCGACATCTGTGGCATTGTGCTGTCTGATAAAACTGCACATTTTAGAGTGGCCTTTTATTGTGGCCAGCCTAAGGGACACCTTTGCAATAATCATGCTGTCTAATCAGTATCTTGATATGCCACGCCTGTGAGGTGGATGGATTATTTTGGCAAAGGAGAAGTCCTCACTAACACAGATTTAAACAGGTTTGTGAACAATATCTGAGAGAAATAGGCTTTTTGTGTACATAGAAAAAGTCTTAGATCTTTGAGTTCAGCTCATGGGGCAAAAATAAAAGTGTTGCGTTTATAATTTTGTTCAGTGTAATTAATGCAGAGTGTGTGTTTGTGTAGTGTGTGCATAGTGAATGCTTGTGTAGTGTATGTAGTGTGTATATAATAAATGCAAAGTGTGTGTTTGTGTAGTGTGTGTGTATAGTGAATGCAGTGTTTGTGTAGGCATGTAGCATGTGTAAAATAGGGGGGGGGAGCATTTTAAATTTTTTAAATTTATTTAACTCCCCCCTCCCTGCTTCTTACATGGCCAGGGAGGATGGAGATCGAATTCCCTTGTGGTCCGGTGCATGGTGCTTTGAGCCAGCCGCAGTTCACAGCAGAGGGGGGCCAGCAGCTCCTGTGTTTAACCCATGGCAACGCTCTGACGGCTGTGGAGCTCGCGAGAGCTAAAGACAGGAGCTGCTGGGCAGTGAATTCAGAGAGTGCTGGTCCCCCTCTGCTGTGAAAAGGTAGCAGGGGACCCGCAGGTACATTTATATATATATATATATATATATATATATATATAGCGAAAATCGCTATATATATGTGTACGTAGGCAATGCGGGGCCCGGAACTCCCTGAGCAGTCATGGTTGTCATGCCCTGATGGCGACCCTGCCTGACCCTATAGTGTTCCTTTAACTCTATAATAGTGCAGCTATATTTTTAATGCAGTGTTTTATAATATTTCTAAAATGACACACACAATTTTAAAGTGAATCCATTAACTTTGAACATAATCAGTAAGATTTCAGTCCCCAGATATTCACAATGGAAGAGCACAGTCTACTTTTACACTATGCTCACCGATCAAGTATTTACTTTCAGACATATTCTTCTGGTGAGCTATCTCCAGCCTAAAAAAAACATTACACTCTATTGCTTTGGTATGTACTGTAAAAGGAAAAGTGAATGCACTCACTGGTCTTCCAGTAAAGTGAAAGATTCCATTAGAGATGTAGAATATTAAACATCATGAACTTGGCCACTTCCTGATCTTTTCATTGTTCATGTTTGCTTTCACATGAAACCTTATTGATTATGACAAATAGCATCAACATAAAACTATCCTTTTAAATGCATAGGAAAACAATTAATACACATAAATAACATGGTATAAGTGAAGTGGAACATTATCACAACGTATCTATAACTTTGGCCTCGATTACAATCCAGCCAGAAATGTTTATCGTCTCAAAATGAGCCTTTTTATTTAGTTCAAATCAATTTAATTCCCACCGTTAAAGGCTTATCGGGAGCTGTTAAATATCACTTCAAAAATATTTTTTTACAAATCAATATTATACTTTGAATCGTAGTATGTGCATAGTTGGACATGGCCAAATTTACATCTCAGGTGTCTGTAAGTCAGATTTGTCAGGATGCACATGAGAATGAAGACATACTCCCTTGCTTCTTCTCTCCATAAA